GCAGTCGTGGACGCGATGGGTATGTCGACTTCTCTCGAACGATCTCGAGCGAATCGTCGTTGGGGCTTCCCGGCGGATTTGGGAACCGCCTGCGGGCTCTCTTGGCTGCAGTGCGACCCAGGCAAATGGCAGAACGAGGCATAAGATGCCTTCACAGTCCATGGCTGCGGTCCTCACCAAACAGAGAAACTGAAAAGGGGAAGTGGATACGACTCCCTTCAGCAGAATGACAGTGAACAATGCCCTCACACACACACACACACACACACACACACGCACACACGCACACACACACACACACACGCACACTGCGAGACAAAATTTGCGTACGGGACTGTGCAGCCCATGGCTACGGTGTCACCAAACCCATACACACTGCAAGCGGAAAGAGACGCAGGATACCTTCCAGACATCTGGAGGCATCCCGAAAACATGAAGAACTAGATTGGAGGCCCCTTGGGCCGTCTCGGGACTGTTTCGGAGCCATCTTGGAGGCTTCTTGGGCGGTCTCAGGGCTGCTGTGGAAGGAACACGTGGGCCTCTTGGACCTGTTTCGACTGTGGGGAAGGCTGCAGGAGCGGGAAAGGAACAATCATGGAAACCAGAAAAAAGACTCACGGCCTGAGGCTGTCCGGACGGCACTATTGGGGCGCTCTTGGACCGTCTGGGAGCATCTTGGTAGAATGGAAACCAGAATGATAATGGAACTGCCGTTGAGGCCTCTGGAGGCATCTTGGAAGCGCGAACCAGATTGGAGCCCTATGGTGTCATCTCTGCCCTATTTCGGAGCCGTCTTGGAGGCCTCTCGGGACATCCCAGGGCAATGTTAGATCGGTCACGGGGGGCTTTGGGACCGCATTCAGCTGTGGGAAGCCTGCAACAGCGAGACACCGAAGAGCAGTGAAAGATCGCGATGGGGGAACAATGACATTCGCATGCTGAGGCTGCCTGGGTAAGCCTACTGTTAGATCGGGCATGCCCACCTACAGGTGGATTTTGAGCGAAACAATAATCCAAAACTATTCGGAAATAGCAACAAACTCAAAAGCACATTAAACAACAAAAAAGAAACGTCCCCAAACTATGGTTTAGACTATTTTTGACTGTTCCTTCTGTAGGGGGACATGCCCGACTTAAGCCTACTGAGGTGCCCTGTGCGCCGTGGAGGGAGATTGGGCAGTCTTGATGCGTCCTGGGCGCTCCAGGAGTGGTATTGGCAGACCCTTGTGGGCTACGAAAGGCTGCTTTAGTCGAAAGGCCTCCCTCCTCCTCCTCCGCCTCCTCCTCCTCCTTCAATGCAAACGCGGTCGCCTTCCCGTCCACGGGGCACCCTCTCGCCAAATGGCTGCGGGCCGCCCTCCGCATGTGCCTTGCTTTCCGTCAACGGGTGCACGGTGCGCAGAGGCTGTCCCGCGCATGGGTGCAGTGTGCCCAGAATGTGTCTGACCGTATGCACCCCCTAACGCAGCGCCGAGCCGAGCATAGCCCTGGCCTGCAATGAAAGGAAACGTCTTGCGGGGAAAAACTTCGGACCGCAGCAGCGTCCCTCCTGGGCCTTGTTCTCCCGCCGCTCGCCCCCAATGGCGCGGCAACGCACCGGGGTGTCGACGTCACTGCTTCCATTCCGTGCCCTTCGCCTGCGGCAGAGCGCTCCGGGACGACCGAAGGGTCCCTGGGAACGGGCTGGAGGCCTGGGGTCCACAGGATGAGAACACCAAAACATCGGAGGCAGGATCGAGGTGTGTGACGACGCTTGGCTCAGCGGGCCCCCCCCAAGGCCGCCAGGGACCTCCAGGGACTGCCTCCTGCTACTCCCGCCTCCCTCCTGCCATCAGTACCCCTGGATGCTCGGTCCTCCCTCCCTCTCCCTCCTCCCTCCCTCCTCATCCTCCCTCCTCCCTCCCTCCCTCCCTCATCCTCCTCCTCCCTCCTCCTCCCTCCCATCCTCCTCCTCCTCCCTCGTCCTCCTCCCTCCCTCCTCGCTCATCCTCCTCCCTCCTCCCTCCTCCCTTCCTCTTCCTCCCTCCCTCCCTCCTCCTCCTCCTCCCACCCATCCTTCTCCTGACCTCGTGGGCGCGTGCGCCCACACGCGCGCTCGCGCGCGCGGGTCGGCTCGCACGAGGTGGGTGAAGCAAAGGACCTGAGGGAAGTGAAGCACGTGGAAGCCCATTGTCTGAGGTGGGTGCAAGGACAGCGCCCGCAGCAGGCAGAAGGCAGCGGGCAGGAGGCAGCAGACGGCAGGCAGGAGCACAAGGAGGAGGGATAATCACGCGAAGCAAGAGAGAGAGGAACATATCTCTGGTGTTCATGTGGAGGCCCTGTTCTGCTATACCTGGGCCCCCTCTGGGCTGTCCTCAGCCGTCCTGTGTCCCTCGGGAGGTCTGACGCGGAGTCTGTTGAGCCTCTTGGAGTCAGTTTTCCTGAGGGGATGTGGCGATTTTTGCTGGATGGGGCTCTCTCGGGGGTTCCCTGGGGCCCTCTCTGGGGTCCCCTGGGGCCCTCCTGGAGCTGTGGTGGCCGTCAGGGAAGCAGCCTGGGCCGCCCGAGGGCCGTCTTGGATACTCTGGGGACCCCCATGGGCCGCGTGGGGGCTCTTCAGGAATGGTCTGGCGCCGTTTGGGGGCTCTCAGGGGGGGCCTTCGGGGGCCCTTTCGGGGACCCCGGGAAGCTCGGGCAACTGGGGGTCCACGCCAACCCGCCAAGGTTCCTACGGATTGATTTGGATGAGTATATACACTAGATCTCGAGGCCGTCGTGGCCGCCCTCGGTGGCGATCGAGAATCGCACTCGGGGGGCGACCGAGCCGTCCTGGCTGCTTGTTTTGTGGGCTGGCCGGGGGGCCCTCTCTCTTGGGGCTCGCTCTTGGTGGTCTGCGCCGGGGCTCTCGTGGAAGCTCATGGGGGCGTTTTTCGGGGCGTCGGAGGCCCGGGATATCGAGGACCACAACGTCCTTCGGATGACCTACAAGAGAGCAGCCTACAAACTACAGCATCTGCACCTCGAAGCCGTGCTGGTGGCATTGTCGGGGGCATGTGGAGGCGGCTCCTAAGCCTCCTGGGACCTGCGTGACGCGTCTTCGGGGACCTACTGGTGGTCATGGGGGCGTTCTTAGGGCAGAGGGCTCGAAATGACAGTGCGAGCGCCCGCTCTTGGGCCGCTCTTGGAGCCCTGTTGTGCGTCTTGGGCACCTCTTGAGCCGCCGCAGGGTCATCTTGGGGCTCTCTTGGGCACATCTTGGGCCATCTTGGGTTGATTTGGGGATGCCTCTTGGGTCGTCTTCGACTCTGCTGAAGCCACAAAGGCGAATAGAGCGTTACTGTGCGCTTGCCTATTAATCGGGTCCCTCTTGGGGTTCCTGTTGGAGGCTTCTTGGGGCGTTTGAGACGCCTCGTGAGCCGTCTCAGACCCCTCGATGCCGTCTTGGGGGCGACTCTGGAACGTCGTGGGCCGACTTGACGGCTGTCCAATCGCTTCGGAGGAGATTCTGACCCCCTATCGCTTGCCCGGCCCTTAGCACCCCCACTTGCGGTCGAGGTCGCGTCCTGGGCCCCCCCATGTGTACACACGAGGCGGGCCCCGCCCATCTTGGCGTGCATCCGGAGGCGGATATTTTTGTGACAGGGCGACACGGGCTCCACGAGGAGGCAGATGACCTGGAAAGCGCTCTAGAAACAACATGCGCGGGCTGTCCCCCTAGCAGGCGGAGCACGTGCGGTCACGCATGGGAGAGGGGGTGAAGCGGAGGATGTGTGAAGAGGAGCAGCATGAGCAGTATGAAGGCTCAAAAGAGGCCCAAGGCTGGCTGGCCAGCTCAGCCATTTCCCGATCCCTGGGTACACTGAGGAGGGCCCTCAAGTCATCTGCCCAGGCTACGTTCCATGCCCTCACAGGTCCATTCTTGTCTTGGCGGCCCTTGGCGATGCCTCGCGTCCCAACCGCCAGTTGGCGGCGTTTTTGACCTCCACCATGCCCCCCCGACCGCCACTGAGCAAGGACGCATCCAGTCCTCCTCCATCCCGTTTCCTCATGATTTATTTCCGCATCAGTAACGCCTCCCAGCCGCTCCTCCGGACGTGTTGGTAGGGCGGGCGGGCCAGGCATGTCGCGTGAGACTTCCTCGCCATGCATGGTCTTGAAGCTTGGAATGCGCAGAAATTTGACGGATGGGGGATGGGTCTCGCACAGCCGTCGCCACAACATGTGGCTCTCGCCACAACGCCGCGCACAGCCGTCTGAAAAGTTTGCAACGGCTTCAAGGATGGAGGGCAGTTCCTTTTCAAACTGTGGCCCTCGCCATAGCGCCGCGTCTGTTTTTCTTAAGATTGCAACCATGACAAGGACTCGTATGCTTGAAGGCCCAAGAATGCTCGGACATGATTAAGAATGGCCAAGAGTCAGCAATCACGTCTATTCGTGGTGCTGAAGTCCCAGGAATCGTGTCCTGGCACGGCGTTAGTTATCTCTGTGCGCAACGCTCACGGTCATCCAAAGCGTTGATGTTTCAACAACGGCTTCAGCACGATTTCAACAAAAAAAGAAAAAAACTGATCGGCCACTTCCCGCAATCGCAAACGACTTCTTGTAGGGACCGGTGAGGCGGGAACATGTAATGACTGTATCTTTCAACATTGTTGGTCCCTCTTTGCTTCACACCGGTCCTCTTCCTGCTCCTTTCCTCCCTGCTCCTCCACGCTTCGCTCCCCCTGACTCCCATAAATGATACCACGTATCCCAACCGCCATCGAAGACGTTCCGCTCCTCCACCCCAAACCGTCATCGGGTTCGAATGCCTCCAAGCACGCACGCGCTATTGTCAGTAGCCGTGGACTCTAGCTCCTCCTCCTCCTACTCCTCCTTCTCCTCCTCCTCCTCCTCCTCCTCCGCCTCCTCCTCTGCCTCCTCTTCCTCCTCATACCCCCCCCTTCTTGCTCCGCGTCTTTTTAATGTATGGCTCCTCTTTCTCCTTGCTTTGCTCCTCTCCTTCCACCTCCCGGATTCTTACCAGCCACACCCGACGACCCCCCCCTCCCCAACCGCCATCTGGCGATGCCGCATCCACCGCCACATCGCGATGTGCGGCGCCGCACGGGAACGGCCTCATCCACGCCTTCTCCTAGCATGCGACCGCAGGCTTCCGCATCGCACAAAACTGAGGGGCAACCATAAGGGGGGAACAGTAGGGGGTGACGCGTCGACATGGAATCGGCGAGACATCGCTGATAGATCGCCGATGGGCTCCCGATAGTGAATCCGCCCTTGCCTGGGCAGGTTGGGGCTATCGGGCCCCTATCGGCGATCCATGGGCGATTGGGGGTCGATGCATCCCCCCTTTGCCTATCCCCCCCTATCGTTGCCCCTGAAAAACGCGACTGGCGCTGGTTCCGAGAGTCGGCCGCATAACTGACGCGCTTGGCAAGTGCCCGCGGTCGACCCACAAGCGACTCTGGGGGTCTGTTGCGCACGCGTCACCGCCCGCTCCGTGCCCAGAGGGTCAGGACCACTATCCGATTTGGACCCACGAAACCACATCGAACAGGAATGAGGAGGGAGGAGGAGGAGGAGGGAGGAAAGGAGGAGCTGGAGGACGATTGAGTCATCCACCACGCGACCACAAATGGCCGACGGGAAAGTCGACCACAGATGGCCGGGCAACAAGAACAGGAATTAGCAAGCAGACTCGGGCAGCGCAGCGATCAATCTGGAAGATCGGGGAAAACGAAGACACGAACAAGCCCAGGAGGGAGGAGAGGACCGGGGTAAAGGCGGATTTTGGGCGAAAAATGAAAAATACCCGAAACATGCAAAATAATGTTCCGAAATTGTGTTAAACGTCGTCCCCAGAATATTTGTTGGCTCTTTTTGTATATTCATCCTGTAGAGGGACGCGCCCGACTTCAGACCAGAGGAGAGGAAGGAAGAGAACTCAGGATAAGATCAGGGAAGGGAAGGGGGGGAGGCGTAGGTCGGGCGTGTCCCCCTACAGGGGGGATTTTGGGCAAAAAAAATACTCAAAAAAAAACTCGAATGCCCGAAAATGGTTTCTTAAAAAATCGTCCCCAGACTTTTTAAAAATTCCCCCCTTGCAGAGGGACAGGCCCGACTTAAGGGGAGGCAGGATGGGCAGGCGCATCGAGTCGGGCGTTGGCAGAACCGAGTTTAGTGGGACCTGGTTCAGTGATGTGCACTGGGGGGCGCCGTTCCGCGAACCGGAACAGGCGCCACCCGGCAAAAAGCACCAGCTATGGCAGACCTGGCTCAGTGATTCTGGCCAGTTTAAGGGCTCCAGGGCCCCACTACTAACCGTTCGTCGGGCATGCCCCCCTACAGGCGGATTTTGTAGGACAATTTAAAAATACTTTCAGAAAATCAAAAAAATAAAAAAAATGTCCTCAGACAAATGTTGATCATTTTTTTGAATACTCCTCCTGTGGAAGGACAGGCCCGACTTGACTTACTCCTGCTGACAGGGTCCCTCGGGCCGGGCGAAACGGGGGGGTACCAAAAGGGGGGGGTTCAGAATCCGCTCACGTGGCAGATTTTCCCGGCGCCTCCCGGCGCCGGGGGGCGCCCACGCATCGAGGCATGGGCCCCTCGGCGGGGCCGAAGCCAGCTGCATGCGGCAGACCTCGTCACCCCCCCCTCTCCCTATAGCCCCCCCCCTCTCGTCCGGCCGGGGCCCCGCCGGCCCGCAGGTGGCCCTCCCCAGAGCGCCGCGCCTTCCCCCCGCTCGGGCGGGGGAGTGCGGGCGCGGCGGCCCACGGAGGGCATTCCGCGGGGGCGTGCCCCCCCTCGGCGCGTGTCGCTCTCCCCTTTGCCTGGGGCCGAAGCCAGCTGCATATGCAGCAAATCTCGCACCCCCCCTTTCCCTCCCCCCCTGTCGTCCGGCCCGGGTCCCCTTGCTCGGGCGATGCGGAGGAGGCGGAGGAGGAGGAGGAGGAGGAGCATGATGAGGAGGAGGAGGAGGAGGAGGAGGAGGGAGAGGAGGAGGAGGAGGAGGAGGAGGAGGAGGAGGAGGAGGAGGAGGAGGAGGAGGAGGAGGAGGAGGAGGGTCCTGGCGGCCCCGCGGCCGGCGGAGGGCCGCGGGGTGGGGCCCCAGGCCCCGTGGCCGGCTCGCCGGCGAGGGTCCCCCGCGCAGAAGCCCTCGGCGCCTGCCCGCGAGGCGCCCGCGGGCCCCAGGGCGCCTGCGCGCCCCGGACGCCAGCGAGCCCCGAGCGAGGGGGGGGCAGCGAGGAGGATTCGAGGTTTTCGGATTCGAGGTTCGAGGTTTTCGGACGTTTTCGTCGCCTCTCGGCGGTGTTCGAGCCTCGGGATGCTTGCCAGCAGCTGCGCCCGGTCGCGGGCGTCCCGGGGGGGCCCGGATGGTCCCGAACGCCCATTGGAGACCCGAGTTATGATCCAAAAACCAAATTCGGCGGCGAGCGAGGGGGGGAAGCGAGAAGGGGAAGGCCTTCTCAGAAGGCGGGGGGACTTCTCAGAAGCCCTCGCGCCTTCCGAGCAGTTATTGTCTGCCTTCGGGGACGGCTCAGGGAACTTCTCAGAAGGCCCGGGGACTTCCGAGACTTGTGGGAAGGCCCGCCCCTTCTCAATTCCCTCCCTCGCTCGCCGCCGACTGGGGAGACCCAGGGATCCAAGGCATGGAAAAAATCACGACGGAGGTTTTTGACAGTTTTCGGCCTCTGGGCGCCCTCACTGGGCCTCGGGGCTGTCAAAGAACGACTCAGGATGAAGAACCGGTCCTGGGGAATGGGTCGAGATGTCTGGGGACACCGTAATGAAAAAAAAAATCAAAAAAAACGGCATCGGATCTCTGTGGACAGCGGGGGCGAATAGCCTTAGGTCGGGCATGTCCTCCCACGGGCGGGTCTTGGACGAAAAATGATAAAGACAATGAAAGCATGCTCCAAAATGCCAAGAAGCATTTCGAAAAATCGTCCCAGACTATTGTTTTACTATGTTTGAATGTTCCTCCTGTAGAGGGACATGCCCGACTTCAGAATCGCCCAGGGGAGGAACGAACATATGGACCCCGAGCTGGCCCGATACGCAACACGCAACTCGTAGCGTGCTAGCACGGAGCTCAACACGTAGACTCTGAAAGCGTAGGTTTGGCGCGACACCTTCGCGAAAGCGTGGACCAACACGTGCCGAGCCAGCACGCAGCGAAGTAACACGGACGTTTTGAACAAGGCACGTGTTGCGTTTCAACACGGGCGTCTCAGGACAGCTATGCATGGACCCGAAAACGTTCTTATCTCCTGGGTGCGCATGCTCTACTTCCGCCAACTTCCGCTGAGCGTCCGCCCGCTTCCGCTGGCGGAGGCGGCCTCGTCTTACTTCCGCCGCCCTCCGCCGCCCTTCCGCCGCCTTCCGCCGCGGAAGAGATGACTACTCTTACCTCGAAGGATGTGGATGCCACGACAATGGACACCCTAACAGCCCTATCATTGATTACAAACTGTGTTTCAAGTGTCGGACACCTGCTCCAAACATGAGTTTCACGAGCGCTGCACCTTACAACAAAACAAATGCTTGAACACATGTTGCAGACCTCTGGAAATGATTCGGCAACACGCTTCCTCTCCATGGATCGCCCTCCAACATCTCGAGGGCGAGGCCCTCCTTGGAACGCCCCACGTGCATCCATGGGGCGCGGCATCCGATGGCGCGTGCCTCCGGCGAGGCTCCCGGGGCGAATGCATCGAAAAACGCCTGCCCCTCGGCCCTGCGCCCCCCATCGACGCCTCCGAAGCGACAGGGGGAGGGGGAGGGGGAGGAGGAGGAGGAGGAGGAGGAGGAGGAGGAGGAGGAGGAGGAGGAGGAGGAGGAGCAGGGAAAGGAGGAGGAGAGGAAGAGAGGAGGGAAGAGGAGAGGAGGAGGGGAGGAGGAGGAGGAGAGGAGGAGGAGGAGGAGGAGGAGGAGGACGAGGAGGAAGGATGATGATGAGGAGAAGGAGGAGGAGGGGGAGGAGGAGAGGGAGGAGGAGCAGGAGGAGCAGGAGGAGCAGGAGGAGGAGGAGGAGGAACAAGTGAAACATGGCGCGGCCCATCCTTGAGCAGGGACCGACCGTCCCGGCATTCCTATTGCCCAGCATGTTCCTCGAACCCGAAAATGTTCTAAGAACAAAACAAGGTTCTTAGAACATTAACCCGATGTGTCAAAACAAGACAGTCTCAAACAGAAATGTTCTAAGAACATCTCGTGCAGACCACAAAAGGTTCTTAGAACATTGTTTGGTGGGCCTAGCACGCCAGGACGCTTCGCCACTGCTTGAGAAGGAGGGGTGAACCATGGCGCGGCCCATCCCGGCGAAGCGTTAGCCTCACCTCTAGGCTGCCAGCGATGGCCTCATCCCGGCGGCCCCTGGAACAGCCACTGGGCCGCCGGGGTGGTGTTCAGTGGCTGTCGGGGGCGGTCTCGCCGGGCTGCCTCGCGCCCTTCGAGGGCCGCCGCTCGCTCCCATCGGATGTCCACGATGGTTTTTTCCCGTCCGGGCGCGCGGGCGGCTTGCTCGCCCTTCTGAGCGACTGCAGCACCTGCGGCCTGACTACGAGCTGCTGCTGCGCTGCGCCGTCTGTGCGCTCCTCCTCGTCGATCAGGAGGACGGCGCCGTCGTTGCCCTGCCCCTCGTAGTCCCGCGCGGTGAAGACACGGACGAGCAGGTTCTCGTGCATGATATCGAAACCGAGGCTGCCCCTCTTGGACTGGTGGCTGCGAACGATGAGGCTGAGCCCGTTCCTGGCGCAGAAGGTCTTGGTCACGTTCCACCCGAAGTTCATCGTCATGCCGCCCCGAGGCGAGCTGTGCACCCCGAACACGTTTGACCGCTTGTCGTCGTCCTCGATGGGGTCGGACCACAGCAGGTTGAACAGCCACACGTTCTGCGGGTCTGCCAGATCGGCCTCCCGAAGGGGGCGCTTCACCGCCTGCAGGTCGCTCAGCTTCCAGTTGCCGTCCCCGATGCCCCCGTGCACGACCAGCACGCTGCCCTGGATCAGGCAGGCGACGGGCAGGTAGTCGAAAGCGCTGTGGAAAATGTCGAACAACTTCGGCCCCATCTCGGCGCCCAGGCGCCGCGAGCACTCGTCCGCGAAGCCGTACTTCCGGTTCATGGACCGGTCCTCGTGGTTCCCGCGGACCAGCCACACCTTCTCGGGCAGCAGGCACTTGAGCGCCAGGAGCAGGCCCACCACCTCCAGCTGGTGGGCCCCGCGGTCCACGAAGTCCCCGTTGAAGACGACGCTAGGGGCGTTGTGCTCGTAGGGGGTGCCGTAGGCCCAGAAGAAGAGCAGCAGGTCACGGAGCTGGCCGTGGATGTCGCCGAAGACCCTGGCAGGGACCGTAGCCCGCGCCAGTGCTGGCTGCACGGTGCAGATCTTGCGGGCCCCGTTGGCGAGCAGGGCCAGCGTGTCCACGTACTGGTCGCTGAACAACTTCTTCAGCGTGCTGTCGCCTGTCTGCCACTCGCAATCCTGCTTGTCCTCCTGCTCTGTGCCGACAAACTTGGCCATCTTGACGGCCTGCTCGACAACAAGCCGCGCGCGCTGGCGCACCGAGCCCAGAACGGAAGTTTTCACAGTCCCGTATCTTTTCTTGTGCAGGGTCTCGTTCGCGACGTCGCCGAAGCAGAGGACCCTACTGTGCAGCAGCTTGCCGACGAAGACGCCCCAGGTGGCGATCACCTGCTGGCCCTTGGCCGTCTGGCTGAGGCTGACCTGGCTCAAGGCAATCGACGCGAAGGCCTCCGGCGGAGCCAAGGCCGAGGGATCGCTTCGCCCCGACCGGCCACCTCGCAGCGAGGCCTTGGAGCCCGTCGAAGACGCGGAATGGTCACTGCTGGCGTCGGAGATGGTGGTGCTGCTGACAGCATCCGCCATGGGCCGGTGGTGGAACACGTTGTCCTCCATCGGGCGGACGCGCACCCTCTTCTCCTCAAGGACATACACGTCGTAGCTGGTGTCGAAGGTCACGTCGAGCTCGTGCTGGCGCTTGCCGAGGACGCCTGCGTGCTGGCTGCCCGAGGCCTTGCTGGAGGCCTCCTTGAGGCCATCCAGAGCCTTGTCGGCCCGCTTCGGGGACCTGAGCGGCTTACCCTTGAGCCGCGGCATCAGGGAGATGCCAGACAGCACTCGCCTCATCCCTGACCTCGAGGTCGATACATCGGATGCCTTCGAGGGAGTGTTTGAACCGTGCTGGCCGAGGGCTGACGTGCCCACGTTGCCGACTTTTGGATTCGCCTCGCCGTCATCCGTGGCTTCGAAGAGCTCGCTTCCGATATTCAGCAGCTTGCCCAGGTGGTCACTGACCTCCAGGTCGCTGCTCTGGACCGGGGCACGTGTCGCCAAGCGGCCCCGCCTGGTAGTCACCGAGCCCACGCCTTCGCTGGCCGTGGCGGCGCGCTTCATCCTCGTCGTGCCGGCAGCCTCTCCGGAGGGAAAACAGCACACAGACACAACGAATCGTCGATTCCCCAGAGGATCTCTGGGAACACCTGGGAAGTGATGGGGGAAGACATATGAACCCAGAACGTGTGGGAAAAGATGGGGAGTCCTGTTCGTGATTTGTGCATTTGTTTGCATGTCCCAGGGCCCCTTTCAGCCTCTCCAGGCGAGAGGCCGAGCGCCATGGAGTGCACCGGATCCGAGGAGTGGCGGGCCCAGGCCCCGAGCGCGTCCATGGGCACGTTCGCCGCGGGCGAAGGGTGGCAGTGCAGCTCGGGCCGCCAGTCGCGGGCCGCAGCGCCGGCCGCCGCCGGGATGCTGGGAGGCAACTTCTGGGAGGTCTCCGAGGGAATGGCTGGCGTTCGGTCGGCCCTGTCCCCCTATACAGGGGGATTTTGGGCGAGAAGTAAAAATACACCAAAAATGCACCCAAAACACCACAAATAGTCGAAACATCGTCCCCAGACTATTTCTGGACTATTTTTGAATAGCCATCCTGTAGGGGGGCAGGCCCGACTTGAGACTAGCGGCTACTAAGCTCGACTCAGGGGGCATGAAGCCAGATGAGCAATTATTCACTGCGTGGGGATCCCCATATGTGCATCTCCTTGCTGGCGCTCCCTTGGTGGTGGGACTCGGTGAGGACGAATCTGGATTTAAGTGTGACTGAGCTGCCTCTCTCTCTGCTCTCTCTGCTCTCTCTGTCTCTCTCTCTCTCTCTGCCCTCTCTCTGTCTCTGCCTCTCTTTCCCTGCCTCTCTCTCTCTCTCTGCCTCTCTCTCTGCCTCTGCCTCTCTCTCTCTCTGCCTCTATCTCTGCCTCTCTCTCTCTCTCTCTCTCTCTCTCTCCTCTCTCTCTTCTCTCTATTCTCTCTCTGCTCTCTCCTCTCTCTCTCACTCTCCCTCTCTCTCTCTCTCTCGCTCTCTCTCTTCTCTTCTCTTCTCTTCTCTCTCTCTCTATCTCTCTCTCTCTCTTTCTCTCTCTATCTCTCTCTCTCTCTCTCTCTCTCTCTCTCTCTCTTTTTCGCTCTCTCGCTCTCTCTTGCTCTCTCTCGCTCTCTGTCGCTCTCTCTCGCTCTCTCTCTCTCTCTCTCGCTCTCACTCGCTCTCTCTCGCTCTCTCTCGCTCTCCCTCGCTCTCTCCCGCTATCTCTCTCTCTCTCTGCTCTCTCTCTCTCTCTCGCTCTCTCCCGCTCTCTCTCTCTCTCTCTCTCTCTCTCTCTCTCTCTCTCTCTCTCTCTCTCTCTCTCTCCCCCCCCCCCCTCTCTCTCTCCACTTTCTCTCTCTCTCTCTCTCTCTCTTTCTCTATCTCTCTCTC